TTAATTATTACATTTGACAAAAAATTTGAATTTCAAAAACAAAATGTTATAAAAATAAAAATATATGTATTATATTTAACATTTTTTAAAAGTTTAGAGGGCAAGTTGTCTACACCAACTTTGTCTAGACAAAGATTCTATTAGTTTAGTTAACGGAATATTTGTCAAGTAAATCATTTTGAAATGAAACTGATAGTTTATAAATCATTTTGAAAGAAAAAATTATTTCTAAACTAAACTGAAATAAACCACATAATTAATAAACTATTTATTAAATTTAGTCATTTTTTAAGTACTTGTGAAGGATGTATTTATTATATTTTTTTAATATTAATTTGTATAAAAAATTTTAAAAATAAATTTTATTTGCAACACTAATATCATATAGAATATTTCAATTAAACAATTAATAAAATTAAAATTATTATTTTTTATATAAATTAATAATAAAAATATAATAAATATACTTTTAACTTATGAAAAAATTCATTAAGAAAACTTTAAAAATGCAACCATTAATGGATGAGCAAAAATAAATAAATAAATAGAGAGATATGTCTTTTTTTTTGGTACATCTGTGAAGAGACAGATATGTTTTCATAACAGACAGCTACTCAAAATTTATTCATGGAGTTGATGTGAACTTTGGAAATGCAAAATTAAAAGTGAAAAAAATACTGTAACAATGGGGATGCTAGGGCTTCCTTCTCTTTTATGGTATGAAGAAAGAACAAAACAAATAATACTTCTCATGCAAGTATACATTTTAATTTGTGTCCGTCCAAACAAGTTGTGGACTATTTGAATGGATATCCATAAATGTCTTTCTTTTCGATCTGAAATTTAATTTCCCTATAAAATTATACCAAAAGATATAAATCCCGTAAGTTTGACGTGCCTCCGCCTCATGCTGTGTCCGTCCAAACCAGTTGTGGACTATTTAAATGTTTAGTTGGCAAAGAAATTTATTTCACATCTTATTAATTAACACTTAATTTTGTAGGGAGACTACTAAAAAAGTAATTTTTTATTAATTTTTTTTAATATTAATGTGAATAATTTGTTTTTAATTAGATTACGAAAGCATTAATTTAAAAATATGTGTAGGTTAGTTTAAAAACACCTTGATAGTTAAAGAAGAAAAAATAAAATTACATAGAGGAGGCCCCACTACTTTGTGTAGCTAGGAGATGGATTGAAGGTTGGAGGTTGGGAGTTGGAAGAGTAGTGCCGCTTGCTGAAAGTTAATCGAAATGGGTCCTTTTCAATTTTAAGGCAGCAAAGCCAGAACCACCCACATGTTTATCAATTCCAGAGCTGAGCTTAGCCTAATGAAACGGCCTGGCATTGCATTTATTGGCCCTTCGCTTTATAATAACCCACCCATAATAAACCCCATTTATGAGCAGCATGGTTGGGCCCTCTCAGCTCAATTATTTGTTTATTTTAGTGTTAACGCATAACACAAAATT